ATGACCACACATCGTTGCCAAGTTGGTTTTAAAGCTATTTGGGATAATTTAATCAAAAGGTAAACTGTAGTAAAAAAAGGCAAAACAAGTAGCAATGGTATTCCAACGTATGGAAGCCCTAGAGGCCCAGACTGTGATTAGAGTGACAGTCAAAAGACTGAAAAGGTTTGAAATTTGCTAGAGAAAACAAAAATTGGAGACTCCTGATAAATCATGCCATCAAATCACAGAAAGCTTGGCACAACTTTTGTGTTTTGGATTCTGAACACAGGAGAGTCCTTAAAATTTTTGGAAAAATCAGAAATCCTCTTTCATCTTTAACTGTCTCCCATCCCTGCAGGTTGTCAGTGTTCAGCCAGCCCTGTTGTAACAACAAGGAAGTTCCCTTCCTGTCACCCAGGAATCACTTACATTTCGGCTGCGGCAGTTGTCAAGGATGGCTTCCGGCAGGGAATAGTTGAGCACCAGGTGCCGGAATTCTGGCAGCTGGAAGAGAGACTGAAAACCCCCCTGAAATTAACCTTCTGCTCCACAGGTGTGATTGTATGTTGAGTCTACATAATACTTCAGCCAAAGGAGAGACCAGGGAAGGCTACAGCAGCCCCCCCAACAGGTAAGCATCAATTTTCTCCATCCTCTACGCGCTCCATTAAGCAAGTTAAAGCCCAGCCCAGTGACAGAAAGCAGGAAGGGAAGCCTGAACTAATTAGCTCTTACATCAACTGAAGAAAAATAGTGGTTAATTAGAGAAGTGGTGCTTAATCTCAGCCACTTCAACCAGGGTGGATTTCAACTCCCAGAATTCCGTGGCCCACTGAAGTCCACTCATCTTAAAGTGGCTGAGCAAGAGTTTGATGGAGCCCCAATGCCAGCAGAGACCCAGAAAAGCATCAGCACCCCAAATTACCTGTATGACTGCACTGAACCAGCAGGTGTTTCCAATGTTCTTCATCCCAACTGGCCATCCGCTGACCCGCCGCCAGTCACGCTGAGTGGTGTTCTCTCCCCAAACTTCACAGCGTTTCCTTTTGGAACGGTTTTTGTTTTCGGCTACGCTCGGCTCGCAGGCTCTGCCAGAAACAGAAACAGTAGCAACTGCAAGGAGGCCTTTTTGGCTAGAAGCAACTAGCCATCTTCATTAATTCATCTATCTTGATAAGGTACTACAGAACAACACGCAATCCCCGAAGGATAATTGTCATCCCTTTTTCAGTAGACTTTGGCCCTCAAGAAAAGCCTGTTCTGCTAGGAACGTACAGTAGATTATGCTGGTCAGCTGGACATTTCCTGAAAATGGAAAACTTTGATTGGAATAGATTTGGCCACGTTTCTCTTGTGAGGATCGGGAGCATGCAAACACAGCAGCGACCTCGATAGGGGCAGAGTGGGACAAGGCTACTGGAGAGAAAGGAGCATGGGAGATTTTCCCACAGCAAAAATGTGGGAAACAAAACAATGACATACGCATTCATTGTTGCAGCAAAATCCTTCTTCCCGGTTGAGAAATCTTGGCCATCTGAAGGAGATGGTTCCTGAAGATCAGCATCCTCTTGGGGGCTCTCATCCTGAGCTGGAAATCAAGACAGAAGCCAATATTAGTCATCAGTGCAGTTCAAATGCTCCGTCTCCCCACCCAAAGAAGCCATTTAATAGCGAGGTTCTCATCCAGAGAGGCAGAGAGAGATCAGAAGGCACCACTGGCCCTTTGTGATCCGCTGACATCTTACCAGCTTGCTTGGCTCTTCGCGTCATCCTCACCTTCCAGAACAAGAGTGACTCAACGCAGCCTAGCCACGATGACGGAGATTTCTGAGAACTGTTTTTCCACTATATCCCAGAAGCGCTAGCCAGGGCTTAGCAAGAGAGCTGAAAGGCCCTTTCTGGTCTCTGGTTCTATTTATAAAGACTCCGTCCCAGAGGGACAGAATGTGTTGTGTAGGTTTTCACAGTCTGCACACAGCCTTCCTTGGAAAATTTCATGCTTGCTGGATGGGAAAAGTCTATGAAGAAAAGCAAGGGCTCACCGGTGGCCTGTCTTTCCCTTCCCTCACAGTCGGAAGCAGTGGGGGCTCCCTCTGACTCTCGGTCACTGACTTCTGTGAGGAAGCCAACCGCCTGCATGAGGTTTCCATCTGCAGCCTGAGGAGAAACAAAGGTGGCAGAAGAGGACATTCTGCTGCTCTACACCAGTGTTTCTCAAATTTGGCAACTTTAAGATGTGTGGACTTCAACTCCCAGAATTCCCCGGCCAGCTTTGCTGGCCAGGGAATTCTGGGAGTTGAAGTCTACACATCTTAAAGTTGAAGTGCACATATATTAAGTTGCCAAGGTTGAGAAGCACTGCTCTAGGGGATTTTTTGTTAAACTTATTGTCCTGGTTAATGGCCAGAGCAGGACAACTTTAAGGAAGACGAAAAAGTATATTTAAAATTGGACGCTCGATTTCATGTATCATGCAGGAACAGTCCATGCACACTCCAGACCAGACAGCACTGGCTGCGAATCACAGGAGCAGAGCAGAGAGCAGAGCTGCATGTTGGAGAAGGAATGTGGACAGCTGTCCAAATGCCACTGTTTGTCGAGGCTGGGAGCAACCCCTCCGGGAGAGCAGGGCTGCCCGTTTTGGATTTCAAGGGCCAAAACAAGCAGAGAAGCAGTTGGAAACAGAGTGGATGGCAATGCAATGGTGGCGCGGGGGGGGGGGGAGTCTGCCTTCCAGAGCCCACTTTAAACTAATTTCAAGGCAGACCATCCAACGCCTTCTTAACGGGGAGCAGGTTAAGGATTCCATTTCAGCAAAGGGGACTAACCTTCAGTGCCGCCTGGAGGAACTGCGGATTGTGGATGCCCGTGATCTCTTTCAGCTGGCTTAGGAGCAAACTGCAGGTCTGGGTTAAAATGGGAGAGAGAGGGTGTTATCAGAAAGGGAAGAGGTAGAGCAGACAGCAGGGCAAGGCCTATAACACAAACAAGAAAACATGAAAGCACCTTTTTAAAAAAACAGATTGGTAGACCTTTCCAAGAGCCAATGGGCTGAACAAAGGCCTTTGTTTATTTAATTCTGGGCCACTCACTACTGCAACCAATAAAAATTAATAAAACGGCCCCACATTATACAGAAGAAGTCACCAGACTCCCAACCCTATCACCTTTGCATCGATACTACTTATGTTGTCAGGAACATGGTTACTCTTGATTAGCAGGTGCCCCTATTTTTTTATATATATAAAGATTTTATTGGGTTTTTTCATAAACGTGTTAATTTTTCCAATCAACGAGTTGTCTGGGATTAGCTATGCTAATACATATTCAATTCCTAATCCTTCATTCTTTCCTCTAACCAACAATAAAATAAATCCCAAATTTGATAGTAGTCTGTGTCTTCTTTATCTTTCATAGTTAGTCTGTCCATCTCTGCACATTCCAATATTTTCCTGATTATTTCTTCTTCTGATGGCAATCCTTCATTCTTCCAGTATTGTGCGAAAATTATTCTCACTGCTGTGGTGATGTGTAAGATTAAATATAGACTCTGCTTATTAATCTTTTCAGGCATTATACCTAGTAAAAAAAGTTCAGGTTTAAAATCAACTTGTTCACCCAATATTTTTTCTAACCACGTATGTATCTTTCTCCAATTAGCCTTAGCCTTGCCACATGTCCACCAAATGTGGTAATACATGTCTATATTATGTTTACATTTCCAACATCTGACATATTTTTAAACACTTTTGCTAGTCTTGCTGGTGGCAACTTAGGTGCCCCTATTCTTGTGACATCACCAGCACATAGCCAAAGTCCCCGCAAAAGTAAGACGAATGCCATTTAAATGGATTACGTAAACAAAATTCTTCGAAGAAAGCCCTGTCTCTCTTTTAGTAAGATCCTCCTAGCCTAATACACCTGGCTTGGCTAAAAATAATTCCATGTTGAATGTTTTGAGTCTCCTTTACAGAAAAATCCAAACATCCCAACTGAGATGGCTACTTATCTTCAGGAAACCAAAACACACAACCTGAGCATCTTTTCAAGGCCAACGAATGTTCATAAAACAAAGTACCATCTTCCGGTTTCTTTTTCAAGGCAAGTTAGAACTTTATTATTTGGAAGGAAAAAGAACAGAGCTGTTATCTGAGAAACACCAGCCCAAAGACCCTTTTCTCCCCCAAATCTGGGAGCCGAGTATTTATTCTACCCCACAACACTGGCAGATGCTGCACACAGACATACAAGGAGCCCAAAGAATGTGCAGAGCTTTGGGGAGAAGCTATTTTAAGCTGGTTGCGCATGCCATCGCAGCTGGTCACTTCTCATTTACAACAAGGTGTTGGATATGCAGCCCACTGAAAATGGCGCTCTAACCAGCAAATTGGCATTTGCACAAACCAGTTTAAAAGAAAATGTTAAGAGGTACCGGGAAGCAGACCAGAGTTTAGGGAGTAATGGCAGAGCAGCATCTAAGTTAGGTTCAAATAGACCAAATTCCAGATTACATTTCAAAGAGGTCCTAAATTCCTGTTCAGCTTTTGCCAAAGCTTTTCTTAAAAAAAGAAATGAGCAACCACATTCCGTTACTTTCCAAGGTCTCATTAGAGAAAAAACAGAGAAAATTCTTATTGATGCTTGGCCTAGCATCAACATTATGCCTACATATTTGCAAAAAAACTTATCTTTAGAGAACACAGATATCAAAAAAACAAAGGCTCAAAAGCAGAGAGAATTCCAACAAACACAACTGTGAGGATCCTCTATCTCAGCTACTGGCAATAACAGCTACTTGTTCTATTAAGAAATTTTGTAACTAATTATTTGACCTGCAATTTTAATTTCTTTAATATCTGAAGAACTCTAACTTCAGAGTGTTGTACGGTATTTTCAGAGTATGATTATCCCAAAGAATTCCTTGGAAGTATATGGTTAGATGACTCAAATAAAATCTACAAGCAAAAATAGCTAACTTGGGTGACACAAGTTAGGCTAAACTGTATTTATCCTGGGAGCTCGAAGTGATAAAATTTGCAATTTTTAGCAGGCCCTGCAATTTGATTAATGGAGGACCCCCAAGCAAGATTATTTTGTTATCCTACCCAAATATTAACACCCCACCAGCTTTAATCATTTACAAAATACCATAGGGGTACAATATAAATTGGATCCACGTTACTGGCTTTGATATTGTTTGGAGACCCATTTCTATAAGACTAGGAAGACCATCATCCTGCAGAGGCACCAGGGATCTGCCAGAGTTCTCTCTGGTCCTGTGGAAATAATCATTTATCATTATAAGGCTTGACCTCCCCCCCCCCCCGAAATATCTTGCTCCCTGCTTTGCCATCTTTTAACATTTAAATTGACTTAAATTTGACAAAGTTATTATTCTAATATTTTAATATTTCCTCTCATTTTTTCCTTGTTGTAAATCGCCTAGAGTTATCTCTAGGTGAGATGAGCAGCACACACATTAAATAAATTGTAACAAGACTTGATTAAATTTTGTATTGGGTCCGGGTCGGTACAAAAAGTGTCCAATCCCCTTAAGACTGCTACTCCCAGCTCTGGAGCCAGGCAACCAGGGGTAAACTAATGCAACTGCCTTCCTGGGCAGGTAGCAGCTCCCTCATCACAACTTGGCGACTGCAACTTTTTGTCAACAAGGATGAGCTGGGAAGGTCTTTTTGTCTTCGGCACCAAAGTTGGAATTTAAAGGGGCTTATGCCACACGCAGGCCGGGCAGCTCCTGGGGGGCTGATGGGTGAGGGTCGCAAAAGAGGGCAAGAGGGAAAATATTCGGGGGGGGTGTCTTACTTTCCGAGGAGGGGTCTCCAGCCTGGCTGGACTGGAGATGCGAGGACAGGTGTGTCCTCCAAGGGGACCTAAGGGAGACCCCCTGCAGGGGACGCCCCCCGGCCCGCCCCCCCATCAGGTGCTCCCTCCACCAGACCGGGGTCCCCCGGGGGGGGGAGAGGAAGCAAGAGGCTGCTTAAGGGGAGGGGGCGCGCCTTGCCCCGCAGAGATCCTCCCCACACAGCCCCAAGGGGGAAAGGCCCGTGGGGGCCTTCTGGTCGGGGGGGGCGGTCGAGGGAGGCGGGGAGCCGAGGTCCCGGCCCACCTGGCGGGGCTGTTGTGGGAAAGGCCGGGCGGGGGTCGCTGCCTCACCTGCGCTGGCCCCCCGGCCGCGGCCCGCTCGTCCTGGCCCTGCGGCTGTTGCACCTCGGCCGTCATCCTCCTCCCGGCCCTTCGCCCGCCGGACAGCCCTCCAGACCCGACGCGGCCGAGAGGGAGCTGCGGCTCCGCCCCTTTAACGGACGCCCACTGGCCCCGCCCACCCGCTAGCGGAAAAGACGGCCGCGCCGATTGGCCCGCGCCGGCCGCGCCCCGTCCCCGGCTCCGCCCTCGCGGAGGCTCTTGCCTTCGCCCCCCCAGGACCTTCACAGCCCCGCCCACTGCCGTTCGCCAGGCCAGCGCAGCCGCCCCCCGAAAGGCGCCGGGCAGGTCGAGGGGCGCCGACGGGTGGAGGGGAAGTCACGTGACGGCGGTGGGCGGGGTCCTCGGGAGCGCGGGAAAACGCGGGGCTCTGAGATCCAATCAGGAGCGGGGGCGTTCCCGTTGAGGCGCTCCTCCTCCTCCGAACTTCGAAGCAGGCCGAAGACCAACCGGTCGAGAGCGCAGCTTCGCCCCTTTTCAACTTTTTCAACTTTTATCACCCCGCTCGGGCTGCACCCCTAGAGGAGGCTGGTCTCCAGGCCCCCTTCTCCCGCTGGGGAGCGCAGGGAGAAAGCCCCCTGGGTCCCAACCAGCCAGTCGGGGGAAAAGACATCACGGGGTGATCCGACGTGTGCCTCTGCCTGTGGCGGGGCTGGGGGAGCCACGGACGGGCGCGGGGCGCTTCGTGCCGGCCCTTTCGGGCTTGCTCCCCTGGCGTGGCCAGGGGGCTTTGCAGGGGTGAGATGGATGACCTCCCTGCGCCTCTCGGTTCAGCCTTGACCTCGTGCTTCTCGGGGCGCCCCGGGTCGCCCGCCCAGCCCGGAGGATCGAGAACCGCTCCGGTTGGCCGCTGCGATGCCCGAAGAAGCGGCTCCGGGCGCCCCGGAGGAGACGCGCCTGCCGGGCCCCGAAGGACCGCCGAGCCCCTCGTTGGCAGCTGCCTCGGCCCGCCTCGCCCTTCGGAAAAGCCGCTCTTTTGCAGGCGGGTGCGAAGGGGCCTCCGAGGTCATCCAACCCACCCTCGGCCTGGTAGATTGCATCGTGCTCAAGCGTTTCTGGATCGGGGACGGCCCAACCGCGTCGCCCGTTCCGGTCGCCCGGCTTTCTCTTCCGTTTGCGGGCGAGGCAGAATTAGTACTGGGCTCACTAATCCTGCGATTTTCCGGCCAAAAAAGCAACGCCGGGAGACCCGCTCGGTTCTCCCAGGGCGGTGGACCATCGCCCACCGGCTGCAGGACTTAACCGGCAGGACTTCTGCCCTGGTTGGCTGCAGCGAACCTAGGAGAACATTTGTGCGGATCTCATGGAAGCATCGCCTAGGTAGGATAAGCATCGCCTAGGACCCCGGCCTAAATATTCCCAAAGGAGAATTGCAAATAGGGCCTTCCCTCTCTTGAGTGGCGGGTTTTCAGCCATTGGCCCGGAGAAATGCCCTGGCATTTTGCATCATTCAGACCCCAACCCATTAAAATAATAAAAAAATATAAAATTCAGGCCCTGCATTGGAATGAGGTTTCCAAAGGAAACCCAAATCAATCCCAGTTCTCTGAACCTGCCTGTTTTGTACCCCCAAGCAGAGAAGAGCAGCCTTGAGCCACTCCCCTCCCCAGGTTTGCCAAAGAGTTAAAATATCTTTGGAACCAGCCCTCCCCCCCCCCCCAAAAAAAGACAACAGGCTTCATTTTGTGGAAAGTTTGGTGGGAGGATTGGTGTGCATATTCACACATGCGCAAAGCATAGGACAAATGGAACAGGAGAATCGGAACAGCATGCACATTAAAAAGAAAATTATGCTAATGCACTGATTTTCCTGGTGTGTGTGTGTGTGTGTATTTACCTTGTTGGCTTCCGACAAGGGGGGGGGCAACCTACAAGCCATGTAAATCAGCAAATACCTCCTGGCAGGTCCCACTTGGCATGTTTGCAGTGCCCCACTTGGGGAGCTGTTGATGCTGCTTCTGTTCGCAATAATCCAACCTAATCCTCCTTTCTGGAGAGGGGGAGGCCTTGTCAGCCACCTCTCCCTCCCCGCTCCCCCCTCTTCTCCTGTCCAGATGTGGCATGAAGAGAAAGGGGGAAGCTAGCTTGCTTTCCTCCCCTCTCCCTAAATTTGTACATCTGTCATCATTCCCGTCATTTTCGGCTCCACTGCCAGGGGAAGGAACAAAGGAAGCTGGTGATTAACTTCAAAGAACTTTGTTGGAGAGGAATAAAGATATTTAGGGCCTATTTTGCGAACTAATTGCATTTGCATATTTATGGGATTTACTGATATAGCAGTAATTAAAAACTATTTAGTAGTCTTAAAGGACACATAACTCAGTTGCTGTTTGCATAATAAACACATCCCTTATTACGTTTATTATGTTTGCATAATAAACCTTTCACATCTCGATAATTCAGAGGGCCATTCCGGAGAGGCCGCGCCTAGATTGGCGGCTTTCCGAGCTAGCAGAACTGGGGCACAGCGAAGAAGGAAAAAAGCCCAAGTTCACATTGGTGGCATTGCCTCCCTGCTAGGAGGAGGGAGGGGGAGATTTTCAGCCCCCTCCCTCCTGTTCTTCGCAAGAAATGATCATGGGACTGTCTCTTCCTGCAGCTCCCCCCCCCCAATTCACCCAGCAGTCTCAGGTCTCTTCTGTATGCAGAGGCTGAGCTGCCCCTAAAAGTCTTTATTATTTTTTTCCAACAAATAAAGATGCATTTTGGAGATCTGTTAGTCTGGGCTTGATGGAAATTCTCACATCCAAAGCGATCTGTTTCTGCCAAACGCAGGTCCTGTCTCCTGGTGGACCCTTTGAGTTTTATAGCCCAACGGAGCAGTAGAAGGCGCTATCTGTCTATGGAGATGCTCAGTCATCCCGGTCATGGTGATCCCAAAGGTGCTTTTTCAAAAGGCAACTGGACTTCCTTTGTTTTTTTTCTCCTGAAGACGTTTCGCTTCTCACTCAAGAAGCCTCTTCAGTTCTGACCGAATGGTGGAAAATGGAAAGATTTATGACAGCAAGGAGTGTAAATCCTTCCATTTCCCGACCCTTCAGTCAGGATTGAAGAAGCCTCTTGCATGAGAAGCAAAAGAGAAAAAAACAAAGTCCAGTTGCCTTTTGAAAAAGCGCCTTTGGGACCATTTGGACATGCTCAGGAACCTCATGACTTGGTTCACAATACAGCTGGAGGTGAATGGGACCGGCTGTTAGCAGATAATTTGTTTGTGTTTCCCAATTCCAGGTCCATCCCCCTGCACAATTTGATATGCTTGGGTAACTGGGCATCTCTTACACACATTCCTTGCTGTACCAGTTTGTTGTCGCACTGGAAACTACCCATCTCCGGCTTCCTTCCATCAGTTCCTCGCCATCAGCACTGGAGCTGCTGGGATGGAGCCCAAACGGGCCCGGCCTCCAGGCCCTGCCATTGACACGGCATCCTTCATGAAAAGTGGGGAGAGTCAGCCAGCCCAGCACGTGACGGCGAGAACATCTCATTTACGGTTTCCTGCTGGGACTCTTGTGCTTCAGCAGCTCATCAAAAGAGCCATCAGAAGCGCAGCGAGCGAGCGAGCGAAAGCCAGCCAGCGCCAGCGTGGACCCCCCGGATGAGATTTTGCTCACACATGTTGGCAATTTGCTGCAGCAATGCTGGTTCCCGAGGGCTTTTCCGGCATGGGCAGCAAAAACAAAGAGAATCTTTTTGCAGTTCCGAGGGGCTCCTCAGGAAAGTGTCACTTGTAATTTGGGGCCTCTGTGTCACCTTCTCCCTCCCTGTGTGGCCTGCTCAGATATTTTCCTCCACCGGCAAAGAAGCCCATTTTGGGGACTGCAACGGTAGCCGGTTTGCCTGGAAAAGGAGAAGGGAAGGGATGGAAGCGCCTGCATGCAGGATCCAGACAAAATCTCATTAGCTCTCAACCCACAGGGGTTTCTGGGTTCACTAATTCCCGTCTCACATTCACTTCCTTGGCTGAGATTCCCTGAGTGAGATCTGCAGAAGGGAAACCCTATTAGCAGGCAGCCAAGTCTATTATCACCACCACGACCCCCCTCCCCAAATAAAAATGATTTTGGTGAGAGAGGCAGGTGGGGAACTCGCAGGGGAGAGCTGTCCGAGGAGGAGGCTCAGCCCAGGTTAGGTAGGACCACACCTGGCTCACCTGCCCACCAAGGCCATGAACTGATGCCAATTCTGCCCCACTGCCCACCTGAGCTCTTGCCCCCCCATAAGAAAGCTGGGTCCTCCTGAACCCCACATGAGTCCATGTGACTGTAGTTTGCTTCCAAGTAAGGGTGCACGAGATGGCACCCTTCGTTACTGTACATCAGCTAAGATCCAAAAGGCCATTAAGGGTCCACCAGGATAAGTTCTCATTGGCTCAACAAAGCAGCTCCTCTGTAAATGACAATCGGAATTTTTTTGTCCAGAATGTTCCATTGTTGTGAGGAAATAGGATGGAAAAGTTTCAGTAGTTCTAAGAGTAGCTTTTTTGTGTGGATCCAGAGCAGATGCCCTTTAAAAATAGCGTGTTTCAGGCTCTCGTTTCTCTGGACTCGGATTGCCTGATACCCTGGGGTCCCACGTGGCCAAGTAAGGTTGCCCTAAAAGACCTTCTGCAGGAACCTGGTGGAGGTCTTCTCAGGTGGGACTGGCTCCCAATAATAGAACAGCTTCCAATAATTCATGGGGGACAGCTACCGCATCTTTTCTTGGGGCAGGAGAAGAGCAGGCCGAGCTGGGATCGGAGTTAAGAGTTAACCATCATTAGCCCAGAATCATTACGTCCCCACAAACGGTTTAAGTCAAACCCTCTTGAATTCCGTTGACCCTTATCTGGCACCAATTTAGTACTGAACTTGACCTGACTAGATTCTTCTGTGGAGGCTTGAGCAATAAATCTTCTGAACTGCAACTTATGGTCCTGATCCTTTGCACCTGATAGTTCAACGCCCATCTGTAATGGCTACAAGGTGGGAATACAGCAAGCAGGAGGGGCGGCCTTTGCTCCTGGGGCCTCCACTTCCTCA